ATTTAATTTGGACATAATCAAAAAGATACAGTCACAATAGGAATGATACAGAACTTTATAACTTATAGAATCTTTTGAAAAAAACGTTTTTTAAGAAAAAGCGCAATATAGTCACCATAACTGTAAAGGGTTTGACATTCTCGGCTTTATATACCTTTTGACAAGGCCTTGGGTTTGTGCTCGCTTCGGCAGCACATATACTAAAATTGGAACGATACAGAGAAGATTAGCATGGCCCCTGCGCAAGGATGACACGCAAATTCGTGAAGCGTTCCATATTTTTGCCTACACGTCCTATCCCAGAAGGCCTAAAAGTAGTTGATGGTAGTCAGATCCATCTATTATAATTGCGGTGCTTTTCCCAATTGGCACTTGGGCCCCTGTCTTCTCTTTTCTTGCCTCCCTCTGCACTATCTGAGTTGTTACCTTACAGTTGAGGAAAAATAGACTTGCCAAAGTTGATCCATTTCAGGTGCAAACCATAACAAGGACTTTTGTGCTATGCTAAATATAAAGTATACTTATATACTTTATACTTTTGTGCTATGATAAATATAAAACAGGAACTTGCATCAAGACTGACTCCTTATGCTGCCCCTAAATCTTTAAAAACAAACAAACAAACAAAAAAAAACCCACTCCTAATTGGGCATCTACCACGTGCCAGCGGCTTCACCAATATCTCGTTTTAATATTTCTGATAGACCTGCCCTATGGGTGTTACTGTCAGCATTTTATAGAAGACACTGAGAGAGGTAAAGTAGCCTGGGCTAGATTATGTAACTAGGAAGTGGCTGAGGCAAGGCCTGAGATATTTAAAGAGACAGATGGGGTATCTACCCCCTAGGTAACTGAATTGCAAAAAGTACACCCATAACTAGTAAGATTGGAAGAGGGGAAAACAGTCCAACAAAATTCAGGTTTTCTGTGATGACTTTGTCAATTTTTTTAAATATAAATTTTTCTTAAGTGTTGGTGCTTAATCTTTGCTAGTACCTGAGCACCTACATAGTAGTCCTGGAGGTTCCTGCAGCCTCCACTGGTGGCAGGGCTCCCAGGCTCTGTGCCACTGCAGTCAGGACTGGCAGTCAGAGGTGGAGCCCCAGCACCCAGCAGGGCAGCAGCGGGTACTCTCCCATAGGCCCTTGGAGCTGCCACCCTGCGTTGGATCAGGCACTTATTTCTGTTCTCTTTAGTGAAGTGAAATGATCCTTTCCAGGTAACAGAAAATAGGTGTATGTGGGACTTCTTGTGTCTCCTCCTGGCTTCATGGCCTCCAATGCATGGCCGTGGCTCTTCTTAGAGGCCACTTGGGCACTGGGTGAGTGGTTTTAAATGTCTCTATGACCAAAGTTGGTTGGCTGTCTGTCCTTCCAAAGAAACTCATCATGATGTGTTGTCTCAGAGCAGACATTAGGAATGACAGGCGTCTGGAAAAGCCAGAGACCTGGCTGACTCTCCTGGCTCTGCACAGTTCCATAAGTAGGTCCCCCTTCCCCCTCATGTTATAGATGAGGAAGCTGAGGCACAGAGAGATTCAGCAGCTTGCCCGATGTCACACAACTGGTGTGTGACAGAGAGGGGACTGAGACCTATACTATGTACCTTGATGGGTGTGGGGGTGGAGAGTGGGAGATAAGGATGTTTAGAATTAACAGAATGAACATGCAAGTCCACCTTTGTTGGTGTTCTGAATTCAAGGGCAGAAGTCAAGATTTTGCAAAGGACGAAGCTATACCGTAGATCAGGGCAGCTGGGAGTGAATACCCTGGTATGTGCCCAGTGGCCTGGCAAAAGGTGACAGAGTAAGGAGCACCCTCTTTGGGATGAAGTTGGAAGAAAGTTTTCCTATTCTAGGTTGATAATCACTTACCTGACACCTCCCTTATCCCCAACCTAATCCTATTGATGAAGGACCTTCTGAGCAATACAATTGTGTTTAATTAACCTTATGCAAATTAGCTTAACTGCTTCCCAGTAGAAGTTGTCCGGAAGCACCTAGGGATTCCTTCGCTCAGACCTTCCCAGCACTCGGATGAATGACACTAGAACCTATTCATCTACCTGTGATGCCCTGGGCCTCGTGCGGGAGGTCATGAGGGAGAGTAAGATGTGGCCTCTGTTGCAGGAGCACTTACCGTTCTACGGGAAATAGACAAAACCAAGGATAACTCCGGGAAGTGAACAACACCCTGTTGGCTTCATGAACCAAGTGCCATGGAATCCAGGGGTCTTTTGAGCAACCGACTGGTACTGGTTTCTCCCAGGGCAGTGAAAAAGTAGGCAACCTGCTGCTACTCCATCCACCTAGTGTGACTCAGTTTCTCACCCTGGATTTTCTGGAACTGGTGATGACAGAGACCACCTGTCGCACAATGCTTCCCTATGAGGGGACCACGTTTCTCTGCCGAAAAAGAGTGAGAGAAAAAAAAAAAGAGTGGGAGGTCGAAGGCACATGGGTTATCTCTTTTTTTACCTCCAGACCTCGGACTCCGGAGCCAGTGGTTTGGGGTGCGGAACCAAATATCCAGAAAGATCAGCGGGAAGGGCATTGTGGGGCCCCCAGCCCGCTCCCATTTCTCTAAACCCCACTTTTTCCCCCTAAAACAAAGTTCCTTAGTCTGGGGGCCTTCGGACGCTGGAAGTAATGCCTAAAATGTGTCGCAAGGTGGCAACATTGTGGCGAGAAATAAACCAAAAAAAAAAAAAAAAAATCCAGGGTTGTTTTTTTTTCAAAGCATATTTTCCCTATTAATGTTTCATTTAACTTAATTAGAATCTGGTAAACTAATTAAAGTAGCTACGAGCCCCGCAATCAGCAATAATTCGTATAATTATTGATAATTACATCCATACCAATCGTTTCGTTATTAACATTGGGGGGGGAACAAACCACTTCTGAAGGGACGCGGGAGCCCAGGAGGGCTTTCGCGACCGAGCTTTCTGGGTCGGGTCCGCCCACACCTCCATCCTCAGAGACTCCGGCCCCGATGGGGCGCCCCTCCAGTCAGGCCCAGCCGCCCACGGCTTTTCCCCTTCCCTTCGTTTGGGGGATTCGGAAAGGGAAGGTGGAAAAGAGTATTTGCTAGGCTCTTCCGCGTGGGCCGCAGCCACGGACCTTCCTGCCTGGGTAGCCGCTGTTTCTTTCCCATTTTCCCAAGCAGGACAGGGCGGCTTCCCAAGGGGAGAGGCGCGAGCACCGCCCACCGCAGCGCCGCCCGGCCCTGTGCCCGGCCTGTGCCCGCTGCGCTCCCCCCGAGAACAGCTCGCCCCGAGGACGCGAGTCACCTCCTCTCTGGACCCCAGTTTCACTTTTGGTGCCGCGAAGCCGGATCTGGTCCGACCCACGCGGAGGAAATGTCCCCGGAGGGTCCTGCCGGGAGGCCGTGCGTCCCAGGGACGCTTTCCTCGGCGACGCCTCGCCATCTCCCCGGCGCCCTCGCCGCCACGCTCCCTCCTGCGCCCTCTTTAGCCCCCGGAGGGACCCCGGGCCTGAGGACCCCGAGTGCAGGGTGCCCTGGGGGCCGGCTTCCTGCCGTGGCCGTGCGATGGGCCTCCCCGCCTGCGCCCCCTCTGGGCGTCTACGTCGCGCCCCCCTAGTGGGCTGCGCTCCGGCCACTGGACCACCCGCCGTCCAACTCCCTCCGGGCCAGTGCTCTCCAGGCGGCGTGGAGCCGCGCCCGCCTCCGGGGTCTCCGCTCCGGCCCCCCCTGCCGCCCCGGCGCCCCAAGTTCGATGGCAGGGAGAGCCTGGCTGTGTCGGAGGGCGGGGGTGCAGGGCGCAGGGCAGGGCCTGAATATCATTCTGCACTGAATACCCTTACCCAGAAGTTTTGACTTCAGGTTAAAGACATTAGTACATTATTAAAATGTGTTGTTGTTTTTTTTTGAGTGTTTTTCCCTACAGAACCAGACACCGAGGCCTAGGCACCACCGGGCCTGCATGGTTCCCAATCCTGGGCCCTCTCCCACTGCATGTATTTATTTTTAACTATATTTTTTATTGATTTCAGAGAGGGAGAGAGAGAGAGAAACATTGATGAATAGAAACGTCCGTGATGACAGAGAATCACTGATCTGCTGCCTCCTGCACGCCCCCCACTGGGGATCAAGCCCGCAACCCGGGCGTGTGCCTGAGACTCGAACCTGGGACCCTTCGTACTCAGGCCGCCGCTCTATCCACTGAACCAACCCGGCCAGGCCTCCTGCTGCCTTTACGCTTTCCTCCTCCCCCACCGCAAAAAGTGAGCGGCCGTTTCCACCCTCCCCCATGGCCCCACCAGCAGGTTCGCTGTGGAAACTGAGGCCGACTGCGGTCCTCGGCCCCCAGGCGCCCCGCCACCCCACCCCGGCGGGGTCTGATCAGTGCGGCGACCCGGACACCTGCGGCTGGCGGGCTGCACCCTCCCCTCACTCCCTCAATCCCACTCAGGACTAAAATGGGGGGAACATTAAACTCTGCCTGGGCTCTTCCCCTTTGGGGAGCAGAGGGGCAGGCGGGAGTGTGTCTGCGCCCCAGCGTTGAGCCTCGCCTGGCCTTTCCAGACCTGTCCCCCCCAACCCCTCACCCCCCACCCCACACCCCAGCGCTCCCGGACGTGGCCCGCGGTGTCTGAGCTCCCGGCATTGTGGGGGAGCCTGGGATTCCGGGCAGGGCCCCACCTCTGGGCGCCCAGGAGGTGACTTCTTGGGTAGGACAGTCTGGAAATGACACAAATAAACTCTCCTGTCCCCTGCGAGCGCAAAGGAGTCAGAGACGAGGGGCCCAGGAACTAGGCCGCGGTAGTGTTTACCAGGCGGGGCCCAAGGGGGCCCTGAGCGCGGGGAGGGTGTCCTGGGGGCAGCGGGGTGTGTGTGAGCCTGCGGCAGCGGCCAGGCGCGGGCTCGATGCTCAGCCCGGAACCCGCGCGGCTGCCCCCACCTCCACCTGTTGCGCAGCCCTTCGCCGGTCTCCGGCCACCCTGCCCCGCTCCCCAGCTCGCACTCCTACGCCTCAGGAAGTGACAGATTTCTTTGTTTTTTTTAATTAAAAACAAAACGAAAGTCACGGTTACAGACAGGGTGGTCTCCCCAAACAGGTCCAGGTGGTCTCCATCTCGTGAGTCAGTGGTCGCCCTTTTTAAAGTGCTGGTTATTACATCGAGAGGTTACAACAAAATACAGACAAAGCAAAACCCCAGGGGGACTGCAAAGAACGGGACTGGAAGCAGGTTCGGGAGGAGGAAGCAGAATGACATACAGCATAAATAAATTAAAGTAAACTCAGTACCGAACCAAGAGACTCACAGGACATGTATATCCATTGCACATAGCCACTTTGTCATTAGGAACAAGTCTCAGGAGTGACGGGACCGCGCGGGCCGGCGCCAGCCAAGTTGCTACGTTGTAATCACAACTGGGGTCCGAGGAGGCTGTCCAGAGGCGAAGGGTAGTCTCCCCCTCGCCTTTCTTATCCCCTCTGTCCAGGTAACCCACGAGGTCCAATGCCCTGGAGTTCAGCCGGGGGCGGGAGGGGGGCGAAATGGTATTTACACTTGGAAACCGGGCCGGGGCCCTGGGCTGGGGCACCCGGGGGTGGGGGGCGGGGAGGGCCCAGGCGCCCGGCAGGAGGGCGGGCGGGAGGCTGTATTTACATCGCTCCGGTCCCAATGGCTTGTTCCACGCTCTCGGCCGCCTTGGCCGCAGGTATTTACAGAAGAGAGAGAGCAGCATGGCTTGAGGGCGCGTGGGCACGGCCGGGCCGGCCCTAGGGCAGCAGCGGGGGCTTGAAGGAGCAGTTGCCAGTGCAGTGGCGGGGGGTCAGCATCTTGCAGGAGAAGTGGTGCAGGGCGTCGTGGGCTTCTGGAGAGACAGTCAGGCAGACCAGGTTGGGTGCCTCACTTGCCTGGCATCCCTGGCACGGTCCCCCCCCCCCACACACACACCCTCTCCTCTGCCCACCTGGGTCTCACCCACCTTCTTCTGGCTCAGGGGTTCTCAAGGGAGTGGGTCAGAAGATAGGAGGATAGGCAAAAACCCGGGCGATTCAAAACCACTGCAGTGGTGCAAAGGCCCCATTTTACAGAAGAGGAAACTGAGGCACAGGAAGAGGAAGGTCCACCTGCTCTAGGCAAGAGTTGGACCTGAGGGTGGTTTCCCAATGCCCAGAGCCCAGGGGGCTCTTTCTTCCTATCCCACCCGTTCTGAGATCATTTCCTCATTGAAAGCAAACCCTACGTTCCTCCTCTCCGCTTCTGGTCCATGTAAACCAGGCCTTCCCTCACTCTGGCGCCGTGGTTTCTTCCTTTGTTGGTTGGTTCGTTCATTCATTCATTCATTCATTCGCTCACCCACTCATTGGATCACTCATTCATTCGATTATTCATTCATTCATTCATTTGATCGTTCATTCATTCTCCCGCACAGCCAGAGTCTGGCACCCTCCCCCCACCCCCATCTTTGCTCCTGGGCTTCCACACCTTTTAACTTCTGCTGGATGGCATAGCGCGCCTTCCGCTCTTGGTCCAGTTCGTTACACAGAGTGTCTGGAAGACATGGGAGGGGCCGGAGAGGAAATGAGCCCACTCATCCACCGGCCCGGGCAGGCGGGGTCACAGCCCCAGCCCCCACCTTCTTCTCAGCTCTCAGCCCGTTCGGAAAACAAGACGGGACGGAGGGAGGAGGCGTCAAGGCTCCCAACTGCAGCCTGACGGAGGGAGGAAATGGCCTGGGATGGTGCTTAGAGGCAGACGGATCTAACCAAAATTAAAGCAAACTTAGGCATTACTTCCCAGGTAATTTTACGCCTCGATTTTTAATTTAGAAACCATGGAAATTGCCGCGATAAGAAGTTCAATCACTCCATGTAATGATGCCTGCAAGCCGTTTGCTGGGTTCGCTTGCCATTCCGAGGCTAATCAGAGTATACAAAGGATATTAAATAAAAAAAATAATTGTTAAATTACCTTCCATTTAAATCCAAATGACTGAGCCGACATTGCGGCTCCTGCCAGACTAGAGGCAGTTATGGCCCGTGCGCGCGCTCACCTGACTGCCGTCTTACCTCTGACAATTTGCAGCTGTTGCACCATTTCTTCTCGATAAGCCAATTCCCTCTTCATTTGATCCTGAAAATTATCTGTGCAAATTGATTAAGTGAGAGCTGTTAAGCACAGCCCCACCCCCTCCCTCGGCCCCATTCCCCCGCTCCCCTCCCCCACCCCACCCACCCCGTCTTTGGTCTAGTGGGAAACCCCAGCAAAGCAGGGGGGCGGGGGCGTCCGCATGGCGCGGGGCAGCTGCTGGCTCTGGGGTCCTGGAGCCAGACTGGAATCTGGAGGGAAGAAGGTTCCGGCCAGGAAGTGGGGTGGGTCAGGATGGGGGTACCTTTGAGACTCTGAAATTCTCGCTCCAGCTTCTTGCGGAGCTCCATTTGCTCCAGGAGCAGTTTTTGCAGCTCGTCTGTGAACAGGGAGAGAGGGAGGTGAAGGAGAGGGTGTGCAGGCCTCAGGAGGCCCCGAGGAGGCCGCAGGTCCTGCCAAGGCCAATAGCCCTGAGGTGGGAGTTGGGGCGGGAGGTAGAGGCCCTCAGCACCCAGTTTACCCATTTGCTTCCAAAGGATTTGGGGGTAGGAAAAGGGGGTGGGAAGTAAATGGCCCGGGAGAACCAAATCAGGATGGTGGAGGGCACTTCCCACTTCCAAGTCCTGGCTCAGGGCACCAAGCAGAGTGGCACCTGCTTCAAGTTGTTCCCAGCTCCCTAATTTCAGAGGCTAGCTCAGGAGGACTCAGTTTACCCCTTCAAAAGTGAGACCTAATCCTTCCCTTCAATAACACAGACCAGGGAGAATCTGGTCAAAGTCTTGGGCCCCAGCCCTGGAAAAATACACACACTTACAACAGGTTGTTCACAATTTCAGGAAAAATACATTTACGTACAACAGTTTGTTTACAATTTTATATGATTGTTATTAGCCCCGCCCCAAATCCATGCTAAACACACTCCTATAAAGCACCCATGATTTTGAAGGTAATTACATGTCCTGCAAAATCTGTAACTACAGAGAGTCAAAGACCACAGATGCTTCTCTCTCTCCCCACACCAGCTTCCAAGCTCCGCCCTGGGCAAGCCTGGGGGAAGGTAGCAGGCAGAGGTGGGAAACCCTGCGGGTGAGCTCAGAAACCCCTCCGGAGAACGGCAGGGGCTGCCTGGTCCGCGGAGCTCTGCTATCTTGGTCCTCCCCCTGGGGAAGCTTCTGAGAAACCTTCCCCAGCAGGGGCTCAACACACAGAAAGGGGAGGGAGGGGAGCAAAGTGGGGCTGGAGGCTCCTTCTGTGCCTGAAGTCACACCCTCTCCCTGGCAGGCCCAGCGACACCCCAAGGACCCTATTCTGCACAGGAGCTGCAACCTGCAACCGCACCCCATTTAAGGTGGGGTGAGTTGGTTTTACATGAATCCCAGGAAAAAAGTTAACCCCTTGAACATTCCTAAAGTAGAGGCCTCCCGGGAATCTTACTATTGGAAAAGTCACGTTTTCCAGGGAGTTTGGGAGACCCAGATGTTCCTGGTGGTCCACATGCACCAGGTTCCTAGGATCTTTACTTGCGTCTCTTTCTCACCGTCTCTTTCTCACCGGGCTGTTTGGACAGACCTGGCCTCAGGAACGCACACTTCCTGTGAGCCCATGGGGCCTGGTTTCCTCTGGCCACCCGCTCTCACACACACCTCTGCCCAGCAGTGTGCCCGGGTCCTCCCTTCCACTTAGTGAGACCGAGGGCCCAAGAACCCTGTCTTCTCACACACCCCAACAGGAATGACACCCCACAAGAAGGCCCCTCAGCATGGAGTAGCCCCACTTCAGGTTTAACCTCACCCCCTACAAGAAGGGCCCCCCCACAGAGTAGCCCATTTCACAGATCTAACCTCATGCTCTATAAGAAGGCCCCCCCCCCAAGTAACCCCATTTCAAGTTGAACCTCACCCCTCTCTACAAGAATAGGCCATCTCCCCCCCAGCACAGGGAGCCTCATTCCAGGTGTACCCTCACCTCTGGCCAGGTTCTCGATATCCTTCTCCACCAGCTGAGTTGCTGTGACCTCCAGGGTGAGCCCATCTTCGCCTGGGATACAAGGGCAGGTGAGCGGGGTTCTGTCTGGGAGAGGCCTTGGGAGGGGAGGGGTGAGCTCCCTGGGAACTGTGCTCAGTCAGGGACCAGCTCCAGATTGGGTGTCGGTAGAGGAGGCAGCTACAGGCCAGTATTACCCACATTCCAAGCCAACATTTTAGGGAGGTAGCCATCATTTTAGAGAGAGGCCCAGGGAAGAGAGGCTGTCTTAGAGTAGGAAGTGCCCTCTGGCCTGTTTTGTGTGGGTGATGCTGTTCCCAATTCCTTCTCAAATGCCCTCTTACCAGGAAGAGCCCAAACCCACCCAGGAGGTGAACGACTCAGGAGCCGTGGCCTGCACCTCGCCTGCGCTGTTTGTGTATCTGCGAGCCGCAGAAGGGGGCCCTCCGCCGCTGCCTACTCTTGATGAAAGCTTTGCTCACCAGCCAAAGCCGGTGGGTGGGACCCTGGGCGACTGGGGTCCCAGCTCCCCATTGGGGGTGCTGCCCCAGCGAGCGTCCTGGGGCTCACCTCGGTCTGTGTTTGCAGGACTTGGCTGGGAGATACTCCTTTGGTCTGGGTAGGATTTCCTCGCTTCCAAATCGTCAGCGGCGGTCGAGTGATTGTCTTCCTTTTCTGGCTCTTAAAGGCAATAAACCGAGTTTCAAGAAGAGGCAGAGAAACCGTGACCCCGATAGAGCCGGCGCCGCAGCAGTCCGGGCGCCCGAGCCCTAATTAAAAGCGTCGCGGCCGCCGCGGTTCCACGCTGCGCGCCTGGGCTGCACCCTCAGGCTTTGGACCGGGCACTCCCCCCCTTCCCCCCACCCCGCGCGGTCTGCTCTTCCCGGTCTCCATGCCTCCTCCCCAGCCCCTCGGAAAAGAGCAGCGCAGCCGCCGAGCCCACCTGGGACGAGCGACCTACATCGGAGAGCGGATACTGGGGCACCGCGGGCGCGCGTGGCCGCCGGGGCTGCCCTCGCCGCTGCTGCCCAGAACGCGGCCCGGGCAGTGGCCCCGGCGCGGCGGCGGGGGAAACGCTCCTGGGCTTGGCCCTCAGCCCCTCATCTGCGAGCCGCCGGGCCCTGGCACCTGCAGGGCTCTCCCCACCCCCAACCACTCCGGCCCGCCCCGGCTGCGCGGCAGGGGTACCCATGTGCCCAGCCAAGTGCCCGCGCCACGCGCTGGCCGGCCTGTCCACGGGGGCACCTCGCGGCCCAAACCACGTACTTTATACACGAAAGCGCCTGAAAGGGGTGCCCGCCAGGAGAGGTTATTAAAAGGTTTTAACCCGGGGTACGGGGTGTGGCTGAGCGTGTGCTTATGTGCTTATGTGCCGGCGAGGTCACCAAACGTGGGAAGTTGTTGGAAGTTCTCGCTCAGCTTCTTGTCTGGTTGTCTTTCTTCCCCTCCCCGCTGCGGCTTTCTCTGCCTCTGTCTTTCTCCTCCCGTCTTCCCTCGCAGACCTCCCCTGGCCCTGGCTCTCTGCCCGCTGCCCCCCCCCCCCCATCGCACTGGCCAGCGTCCCCCTCGGAGGGGCTGGGGCGTTACCGTGGGCCTCGGGGGCGCAGAGGTAGGAGGCCGCGGGTCCCAGCGCCGCCGCCGCGCTCTTCGCGTGCTGGTCCCGCTCGGGCGCGTACACCTGCGGCGCCGAGAAAGGACAGGCGTTAGGGCCGGGAGCCGCCTGGCCCAGCGCCGCGGCGGGAGGGAATGTACAAGGGGTGGCGGAGATCGGCTCAAGGATTGGGGGTGGGGGGTGCTGAGCGCCCGGCCCGGTGCCGCACACCGCACAGCCTTGCGCCCTTGGGGGCCGCTTCTCTGTTGTAGATTCAGGGTAATTGTTAGCGCCCTGGAGAAAATGATCCCCCACAAAACGGTTCCCAAGCCAAGGACTGCTCAAAGCCGCCCCCACTCTCGTTGCCCACTTTCTCTCCCCCCCCCCCCTCCCCGCCATCTTCCCTCCCTCTCGCGCCCAGTCCCGGGCATAAATGACGCCTTTAGCATCTGGCTAACGACTCGTGCTTTAATGGACCGAGTGGAAATGTACAAGTGTGGGCACCCACTTTCAAATGACCAACAGTCCCTGATTAACTGCACCCCCTTCCCAGCACACACCCCTAACCCCCGCGCTGGCCCCAACCGACCGAGAGCCCCTCTCCCAACCCACACACCGTGCGGACAGCTCCCCACCGGGAATTCCAAGAGACTCGGACCATTATGAGTTGGGGTGGAAGAAGGTTCCGGGGGACCCCCCCCCCCCCCCCCCGCCTCTGTCCCGGCACTGCAGTGGCCTGGCTTTGGGGAGAGGCTGCCCTTCCCTGGAGCTCTGAATCTCCCCCAATGAGTGTGCTACCAGCCATGCCTCACCTGCGCCTGTCTCTGGCTTTGGATCCCTTTCTCTCCTCCACCGTCTCCCTCCAGACCCCCTTTATGTGTCTCTTTCTGTTTCTGTGCGACTGCCGGTCTCTGCCTGTCTCCTCCTCATTCCCATCCATGCAGACACAGCACAGGCCCTTCTCAGGCCTTCCCAGCGCCCCCACGCCCCCAAACCCTCAGCTGGGGGCTCCAGCGAGCGCAGCTCCACGGGGCTCCTTGCGAAGCTGGGCCCACTCCGCAGAGCCGAGGCCTGCGGCTCCGGTGCCCGCTGCTCCGGTGCCCGCTCAGAACAAAATCCCCGGCCCCCGCCCGGCCAGTGCCAGCCCCCCCTTTCCGCGGGGCAGAGGGCTGAGCACGGACAGGCCGCCGCCGGCGGGGCGGGCGCTGGGCTCACCTTGGCCGGCGAGGGGCCCCCCAGCGGCCCGCAGGGCTCTCGCAGCTCGTAGCCCCCGCTCGGCGGGCTCCTCTCCGGTCTCCGCGCCGCGTCGTCGGCCACCAGGTCCCCAAACACGGAGCGGCTGGCCGGGGGCAGCCCCGGGCGGCGCCGGGGGCCGGGGCTGCCGCCGCCCGGAGAGTCTGCAGGACCATCCGCGCCCGAGGAGGTGGCCGATGGGGGCCCCGCGAGCGGCTCTCCGTCCGGGCCGCCTCCCGCGCCGGGCGCGCCGGGCTCGGCCTCCTCCGGCGTGCCCTCGTCGTCGGGGAAGCGGTTGGACTCCACGTCCACCTCGGGCTCGTCGGCTGTGTCCACGTCGGGCGAGGCGGAGCGGTAGCTGGAGCTGCCCTCGCTCAGGAAGTCCGGGCTCACGTAGCCGCCGCCGCCGCCGGCCCCGGCGTTCGGCCCCGGCCCCCGGGCTGGCCCCGCGCCGTAGGCGTCGCGGGCGCTGCCGTAGAGCTTGGCGATGCTCTCGGCGTCCTTGACCACCGGCCGGAAGGCCGACACGTAGGAGCCTTTGCGCGCGGGCGGCGGCGGCGGCGGCGGCAGCGGGGCCAGCGGCGGCGGCGGCAGCGCCTCGTCCGCGCCGTCCTCGTCCAGCGGCCCGCGGGACAGCGCGCTGGGGCAGCGCTCCTCCGCGCCCAGGCCGCCCTCCTTGGCGGGCTCCGCGCCGTCCAGAGGCTCCGAGCCGCTGCCCCCCGCCGCCGCCGCCGCCGCCGCCGCTGCGGCTGCCACGGCGGCCGCCACCGCCTTCGCCTGGCTCTGCGCCGCCGGGTAGGGCGGCACCGGGAGGCTGCTCGCCGCCGGCCAGAACATGGGGAACGTCGGGTACACGGTGGCCGCGGCGGCCGCGGCAGCCACCGCCGCGTCCTTGGCTGCCCCGGAGGGCTGGTGACCCCAGAACATGGCGCCGCCCCCCGGGCCAGCCCCGGCCCCCGGGGGCAGGTGGCCGGCTCCTGGGCCGCCCGCGCCCCCGCCGGCGCCCGCGCCCCCGCCGCTCCCGGAGCCCGGGCCGCCCTTGGGTTCGCCTGCCCCCAGCACAGGGTCGTCCTTTTTGGGGCAGAGGCCGAAGGCCGTGGGGAAGCCGTAGGGGTGTGGGAAGAGGGGCGGGGGCAGCTTTTGCAAGAGGCCGAAGCCCTTGCTGGGCACCGGGATCACCGGGTAGCTGCGGACGCCGGCGGCGCCTCCACCAGGCCCCGCAGGGCCGCCGGCTCCCGCCGTCAGACCGAGTCCCCGCGGCTGCGGGTGGGGAGGAGGCGGCCCAGGAGGTCCGACGGCCTCGTCTTCCCCACAACGCAGGCTTTTGTGGGGCGGCGGGCCCGGGGCCAGCTCCGAACCACAGCCCGGGCCTCCCCCGCCGCCGCCGCCGCCTCCAGCGCCCCCTTTCCCCTGCCCCCCCCGACCCTCCGCCGCCGCCGCCGCCGCCTTGCAGCGAGAAGGTCCGCTTCCGGGTGCCGCCGTTGAACATGGCCTTGACGTCCTCCCAGGCGTGGCTCAGCTCGTCCGTGGCCGACTTGTCGCTGAGCTTCAGGTGGCGGCGCCAGGAGTTGAAGTTGGCGGCGTCGGGCTGCGTGTACTTGGCGTCGGGCGTGCGGTGCGAGTGGAAGATGAACTTGTTGGGCGAGAAGTACATGCTGCAGTAGCCGCACTTGATGCACTTGGCGCGCGAGCTGTTGTAGCGCGCGGGGATGAAGCTGCCGCGCGAGCCCCACGCGCACTCGTGCACCACGTCGAAGGCGAAGTTCTCGGGCAGCTTGGGGGGCTTGTGCTCGCCCAGGAACGACTTGCACAGGCGCTCGGCCTCGCGCTTGGTGATCATGCCGCAGCGGCGCGAGGAGATGGGCATGGCCCCGGCGCGCCGCAGGATCTCCAGCTGCACCGGCGTGCACTGCACGCACGTGATGCCCAGGGCCACGCGGCGGTTGTGGATCTCATTGTAGCTGTAGTTCTTGAGCAGGGTGTTGGAGATCTGCGCCAGGCACAGGCGCTCCTGGCCGTCGATGACCAGAGACACGATAGGCACTCCGTACAGCGAGGTCTCGCCCACCTGGTTGGGCTTGAGAGCGCTGGAGCCCGAGTAAGGCTGCAGCTCCTGCTTGGAGTTGGGCGAGGAGCTACCCTCGCGCCCCGGCCCCAGCTGGGTGGTGAGAGCCTCCATGCCGCCGCTCCTGCGAAACAGAGAAAGCAGAGAGCAGATGAGCCATTTTCAGCGCCGCCACCGCCGCCGCTGCCCGGGCCCGCCCCGCGGGGCGCGCTGAGGCTGGCGCGAGTAGGGAATCTTGGCAATGGGGAGTCCAAGCTCATTCGCCCCCCTTAGCCGGGCGCCTTTTGTTATCCGGACTCCTGCTGGCGCCGGAACAAAAGCCCCCCGGGATTTGGGTGAGCAGAGGGGTAATTGAGACCTCAGAAATGCCCGGTCTGCTAGGAATGAATGAAACCCTGTTTTGGGAATGGGGAGGAGGTGGAGCCCAGAGACGGAGAGTGACTTGCCCAAGGCCACACAGCAAAGACATCGCCGAACGGGAGCTTCCCGGGCGCCGAGATCCGCGCGCCTTCGGCCACCCTCAGCCGGCCCTGCCCGCCCAGGTCTTGAAGCCCGCACTTCGGGGACCGGCCTTCCCTCAGCTCTGTCGTGCTCACACGCGGGCGGGCAGGCGGGGGCAGCGCGCGGAGGGTTTGGGGGAGGGGCGGTCACTGCCCAACTCCAGACAGCAGGGGGCGGAGGGGGAGGGGGAGGGGATAGGGAAGGTCTCCAGGCTGGGCGGTGGTGGTGGCGGCGGTGGTAGTGGGGTAGTCTGAGGCGACCGCTGTTCGTGGTGCTGAATCTTGCTCTCTCTGAAGAACGCCATTTGCGTCCAGCCCCAGGGCAGCCCCCACGTCATCCATCTCCCTCCGGATCCCGCGGATAATAGCACTGATTTCCACAAACCCGAGCTTCTCTCATGTCCGGAGCCCCGCCAGAAAGATTCAGGCTAGAAACAGAAATAGTTTTCTTCCCAGCCATCAGTGAGCCCAGGGTCAGGCAGTTCCTAATCACATTTCCTGCATTTTCAGCTTCGTCCCAGACCAATGCTGGCTTTCATGGGGTCAGCGTGTGAGACGGAGAGGTTCTCGAGGAAGTTTCTTAGGAGCCTCTTCTCCTTTGCTTTTCGCTGCTCACTCCCCAAGTTTTCTTCCTTCGGACTTACCATTTTAGCTCAGGCCAAATGCAGTCTCTCCAGGCTTCTTCTTCTCTTCTTCTTCTTCTTCCCTTCTTCTTCTTCTTCTTCTTCTTCTTCTTCTTCTTCTTCTTCTATTCTTTTTTTGGGGGGGGGAGGTCTCCTCTCGGAGTATACTTTGTGCAGGGCTATCATGGCTCAATATGGGCTGAGGGGAATCCTAGCCTGTCTCCAAAACCGATACAAGGCTCTAAGTCCAAAGTTGCTGCCTGTCCCATGCTTTGCTTGCTGGTTCAGGGAGGGAGGCAGCTGGGCCTTCGGACCTCAGCAGCGGGAGGATCAGGGGAGCGATGCTTGGATCTCCCTCGGTGGCCCATGCCAGCCCAACCCTGAGGCCCCTCTTCTAACTCCCTAGGAAAGGAAAACCCACTTTCAGAGGGGCAGCTCCTCTGAAAATGGGACAGGGGATCTGAGTTCAAAAGGATTAGGATCTTCTGTCTGTCTTTCTCCTTCCCAGTCTAGGTGCCCCTCAGCTGTCGAGATCTTATCGTCCTGAAGCTGTCTGTCGTTCCCAGCTCCCTCCTCTTTCTCCCATCTGTCTTCCTACCGTCTCCCAGTATCAAGCTATTTATCTGTTATCTGCCTGTTTCATCTTTATCTCTGTGGATCCAACTGAGACAAGTTGACCCTGCTTGTGGAAGTCTCTTGTAACATTTAGGAGCAAAAACTCGGTCTTAACTCCCCAGCGTAGGGATCAGCAAGACAAGCCTCGCTTCCCCCTGAAGAGCTCTCGGGCAGGCTGGGGAGGCGGCCTGGGGTGAGATGGTGGTGGAGGGCGCCAGGGTTCTGCGAAATGACGGCGTCTTCTCGGTTTCCCGAATTTGGCAAGTGTGCCCTGCCCGCGTGCAGTGAAGGGACTGCTCCGAGCCGAGTGCACCCTCCTCCCGAAGCTGAGGGTCGGTCCCAGCGGGGTTTTCCTGAATGGAAGGAGCGGCCCCAGGCCCCGGGACCAGGAGAAGAAGGGGTCCCTAGGAAAGGAACCGAATTTCGGGAGCCAGAGCGGAAAGCCAGGGTAAAGGGTTGCACGCCGTGACAAGGAGCCGCAGCTAGGGCGGCTGGGGGAACCCTCGGCGACTGGGGGTGAGCTAGGAGTGGGCGACGCGATGGGAGCGAGGCGGCGGATTCTTTGGGTATAGTAATCATTAAAACAGCCGCCGGAACCCAAATCGGAACTAAATGAAAGAAGCTGCAGGGTCAGGGAGCGGGGGGCGGGCGGGCCACCGGACGCGGGGACTCACCGTGCGGCGGCGGCGGCGGCTGGAGCCGGGCAGGCGGGGAGCGGAGGTGCGCGGCGGCGTCCGGGCTCCGCGCGCCGGGCTCTCCGGGTGACGGCGCGGCCCCTCCCCGCGCGCGCGCACAGCCGCGCTCCCGGGCTCCCCGCGCTCACACCGGGGCCCCGCCAGCCCCGCCCGCGCGGCGCCGGCTCTCCGCAGGTGCGGGCTCCGGGGCCCTGGGCGCGTCAGCGTGTGCCCCGCGCCGCTTCCCCGGAGGCCCGGGAAGGGCCCGGAGCGGAGGCCGGGGCTGGGTGCGCGTGGTGCGGCGACGGGCACGGCGCGGTCAGAGCCGGAGTGGGAAGGCCGGTTCGGAGCGGGGAGCAAGCCTGACAGCTGCGAGCCGGCGCCACACCCACAGCCCGCTCAGTCCCTGGCGTCTCCGGGGGCCCGCCAGCCCGCGGGCCACAAGCCGGGCCCGCCGCGGCTCCGCACCCCAGGTAAGCTGTGGCACACCTGCGCCCTGCGCCCCGCACCTGCGGCCCGCGCTCGCCAAAGGGGCCAGCGGGAGAAAGGGCCTGGGCCGCGGACTTTGCCCCTAAGAAGGAAGTGGGGAGGTGCTTTCCTCCTAGGGACCAGGAGCGGCCAGGCCAGGGGCGGGTGCGGGGTAAGGACAGCTCAGGCAGAAGGGCCACAGGGGGGTTACCGCACTTTGGGCCAGGGCGGTGGGTCCGGAGAGTGGCCCTGGGAAGTTATTAGGGTGACCAGCGGGCCGGGGCAGGACCACGGGGGTGGGGGGTGCGGTAGCCGCTGGGAAGGGGCAGAACCAACACCCCACTGCTTTGCCTGGGACCTGAGGTGTCAGATCAGCTCCAGCCTGGGGAGGAGCAACCTCCTGCCTCCTTCATCCAACAGTGGACTCAGGAACTGTTTTATTTTTTTGAGGGGGGGCACCTTGGGCAGGAGCCAGTGCCTCGTTGGGAGACTGCTCTCCAGCCGCCTGCTAGCTCAGCTCCCTGTGGCGGAGGGCTGGCCCTCTGACCCTGCAGACACCCCTTGGGTATTCTCTCTCCCCTCGGTTCCTTTTCTCTCTATTCCCTGCCCTCTGCTCTGCCTGTGGGTTTCTGTCTTCACCCCCGACCCTCCCACCCCACAACCCCACTGGGTCCCCGTGTTCTTCCTCTCTTAATCTCGGTCTCTGCTTCATTTGCGTTTCCAGTCGCCCTCCCTCCCTCTTTGCCCGCACCGAGCACCTCCTCGCCCTCCCCTCTCCCAAGTAGTATTAAGTGTCCTTAATGGACACGTTAATTAAACTGTAATTAATCATACTGTCCAGTCCAAGTTTGAACAATTACCCTAATCAAACAGAAGTTAATAATGGCAGGGATGGCCCGGGGCGTGGCGGGCCGCCGGGGCAGGGGACGCAGCGGCCACTGCGGTTACGGACTTGGGCAGCGGCGGCAGCGAGCTGAGCGCGTCCTTGGAACCGGGGCAGCACCATAAATCTTCCTTTCGTGGCCAGCAGCGCCCGCCGCCCGCCCCCGCCCCCGCCCCCTCGTTTTCCTTCTCGCTCCGGGTTACAGGCCCTCTCCCCTCCTGCATCCCAGCTCTTCTGGGTTTTGTCTCCCTTCTCCACCACTTCCCTCGCGTTTTCCTCTTGTCCCGTTTGAAAAGGCTCTGGGGCTGTGAGCGGATCTCCTAGGCCTAGCCCTTGGAGAACGCCAGGGGGGCCGGACCAGGCCCGAGGACTCGTTTTCTCTCCACCACCTTCTCCCCTTGGCTAACGGATCTCTGAACACTGCCCCCAAGTTTGAGGGCTCTGTCTTCTCTGCGGAGTTCTTGCTCTTTCGCCTGCCTCAGTTTTCATCTTCCTCTCTTTGGATCTCCCTACCTTTCTCTCTTTCCTTCCACAGCCTGCTCGGCCCTTTTCTCTCTCTGCCTCTGGCCCCTCAGTCTCTTCCAGGATCAGCTTCTCTCTCTTTCTCTCTCTCCAACTTTGCCGTCCTCTCTCCCCTCTTCCCGCTGAGAAAAACAGGAACCTATTTTCCCTCCCAGTCTGAAAGCCGCCTGCTCATCCCCACTCTCTCGGTTGGTGCCCCCCCCCCCCCCATAATTACAGTCCCCTTCGGTAATTATTCTTAGCTTCCTAATGATTTTTTAAAAGGCATCTCAAAATCTGGTGTGGTGGTTGACAACGATTGCGGAGCCAGGACGCCCCCGGGGCGGTGGGGGGAGGGAGTGGAAGGAGGATGGGTAAGACGGGTCTGTCCGGCCTCTATTGTACTCCAGGGCGTTCCCCGCAGCCTGCCCGCGGGGACCCGGGGACTTCTAGGACCAAAGTCCTCTTCCCAGTTGACCGCGCTAGGGGCGCGCAGGGACGCCTGGGCGGCTCCGTTCAGCACCGAGTCGCGGACAGCTCCCTGCGCCCGCCGCCGGCCTTGCCCACTCACCCAACTCTCTGATCCCCCCAACTCTCCGACACCCCCAACTCTCCGACACCCCCAACTCTGAGACCCCGTCAGAGCTAAAGAAGGACTGAAGGCGCACCGAGAGAAGCTCCGGAGGCGCCGGCGCTCGCTGGAGCGGGAGTGGTCTCCGGGGAGCGGGTCTCGGGGTGCTCTGGACCAGGGTCCAGTCGGTGAATAGTAGCAACAAACCTCATTTTACAGTTTGCAGAGCCGGTTCTCACCATGACCCTGACAATAAGTAGGTGTCATGTATCCCCATTGTACAGGCAGGAAACTGAGGGCCAGTCCTGGGAGCCAACTCAGGCTTCTTGTCTGGCTCATCAAGGACGCAGGCTGATCCCCAGGCCTGAGATGCCTCGCCTGGCGGGGAGGCCTCAGCTAGGGAAGGGGAGGAGGGAGAGGAGGAGCTTTTGTTCCCACCCCCACCATGCTCGGTGCGGAGGAAACAGGCCGCGCCAGGTCTCTGCCCCGGGCTCAGGCAGCCAGTGCGGGCGGCCTGGGACTGGAACTCGGACTCTGAAGGGCAGCGCGGGACCCCTCTTCCTCAGAGCGGCTCCGGGCCCTGCCGCCCGGCCCAGAGCCTGGGGAGCTGGCGGAAGTCTGTGTCCTTGGCCTTCCCGACCCCCTTTAGCCCGGGTTCTCTCTTTTATCCATTCCCAGTGGCACTAGGGTCGGAGGGCAGCGCCCCGGCCCACGTGCTCCCCACTACCAGCGGGGGCCGCGCTGGCTCCGCGTCCACGCTGCTGCTCGGGTCCCAGCCGATTTGGGCTCTGGCTTGGGCTGGGGCCGGGCAGCCGCGCCTCCTCCGCAAGCACATATCTTTTACCAGTTGAATTAACGGCAGTTTTCGTCAGTTAATTAGGTTTAATTTACATAATTAGTACAGTATAAAGAGGATTGGGGATAATCATGGGGTACGTAGCGCTTACTGTGTAAACACGTATTCTGAATTAAAAATCAGATGTAATTAAGGCGCGAAGGCCCTGTTTAGGCAGGGTTTTAATTGTAATGAATTTCTAATTAACACTCAATGATTGCCAAATGCAAAGGGCTGTAAAATTTTCTTGTAGTTTTGCTAATTTATTGTTTACTTAATATCTGGATATTAATCCGACGGCCAGATAGACCCAAGGCCCGCGCAAGGGCGGCCCAGGCGAGTGAAAGCGGTGGCGCGAGGCCCGGGGCGCCCCAGAGCCGAGAGGTGCTCGGATCCCCGCTGTCACGTTCGGGTTGCCAAGGGGACGGCCGAAGCCCAGAGAGCCCCTGGGGACTGGGCCGGCGGAGGCTGCGCTCCAGGTTCCCACTGCCCAGACCGGCTCTGGGATCAGCGGCCAGGCCAGCTCTTCCCCCCCAGCGGAAGGTTCTGTTCCTAAAACATCAAAAGGGGCGAGAAAAGCCTTCATCCAGATCCACTTCTCCTACTGACCACTGAGTGACGGGGACCGTGCAATACTTGCATCTGTAGGATGGACACATTGATTGGCACTTTGGGGGAGTGAAGGATTGACCAACCCCAAGGCCCAAGAGCACTGCCATGAACATCTTTCTTCTGGAGCCCAGGAGGGAGGCCTGGTGGGGGAGAGCCAGGAGGCCTTGGGAGCGGTTGAGAGGTCACAGGAATGGCTCTGCCTATCCTGGGGTCTCTCTGCGTGTGGGGACGCAAGCTAGGCTGGGAGGGACAGAGAGGGAGCCCAGGACCAGACTCTGTTGCACTAACCTGACATAGAAGCCCCCAGGGCCCACACACAGGAATTTGGGGAAGAGGGTAGGTGAGTAGCTCTGCTGGGACTCCTCCGGCCCCCAAGTCCCTAGTTTGGGTCTCTGCCCGTATCCTAGCTCACCCACCCACCCACCCACCCACGCAAGGGCTCCCCTCCTGACAGCCCCACTTAGCCACTGTTCCTTTCCAAGGTCCTCACACAGAGGAGACTCGGTGGGCACCTTGAAATTCCCATCCAACCCAAGGGAACCCATCAGTGGCACCTAGAAGCATCTGCCCCACAGAGCAGACTGCCTTGACCTCTCTCTTCAGTGCCTGCCTCTCTGAGCTGCAGAGGCCGATCCTGGGTGCCACAAAGGATCTCCTCCGAGCCTGACTGTTGGCCTGGACCCTCATCTTCTTTGTCTCATGCTGTTTATTTTCATTTTTGGATTGTTTACTGGTTAATATTTCCTGATTAGTTACTTGTTTAAGAGTATCTTCTGTCTCTCCCACTGGAGTGTTTTATTTGCTGTTATATTTCCATGGCCCAGAACAGAGCCTAGCACACAGTAGGTGCTCAACATGGTTGTTGAATGAATGAGTGAACAGCCCAGGTCCCAGCTGACTTGTTGGCCATAGTGACTGAATGGTATCTAGGGGCCATTCTGGTTCTCCCAGAGCAGAAGGTTCTGTGCTTCCCGGTGATGTCTAGGAGGTCCTGGGGCTCCTACCTTCCTCACAGATTCAGGCAGGGCTACTAAGACAGAGCCCTGAAGGCTTGTTCTCTTTGGAGGTGGGGGTGGGTCGTGGCAGGGGAGGTGGGGAGGTGGGGGAGCCACTGGAAGGGGCTTCCTTCCCAGGGCCTCCTCCTCCACTCAGCAATGTGGGGGGAGGCTGGAAAGAGAATAGACTCTGCTGCCAGGAAGACCTGGGTTCACCCAAATCCTGGTTTTGCTTCATTGGAGCCCCCAAACCTGCGTCTGTAAAGCAGTCAAATGCGTCTTAT